ACACACACACACACACACACACACACACACACACACACACACACACACACACATCTGCATGGGGTCAGGTATTATCGCTCAAAATATCTCTGGACACACGCAGGACAAAAATTCATGTAAATGAACACAACCCTATTCTAACAACTAAGATACTCATGATCTACGTACCATTCTAGGGCGCTTGCTTTAGGCTTATCCACATAAAGACTGGGGGACTGTGGGTAGTGAAAGGTATACCGAGCAGTATTCAAATAAAAACGCATGAACCGAATCTTAACGTTGGGATCTCAGCAGCCATTGACGCGGGTTCATGCGTTATGTTGTGTCTACGTGTGATCGCTGGATAGCCTATGGATTTAAAAACGGGGCCATAGTCTCCATAGATGGGAAGGGGGAACCATATACCCACTCTAGATTGAAAAGCAAAATATAATGGCAAGGCTATATAAATGTAAATCGCCCTGAAATATAGGCAAAAATGGAGCAAATGTACGTTCGTCGACGGCAATTCAATCCTACATGCGGTTTCCTCATTGAAATCTTACGAAAACAGACTGCTCCGTTGAGTCTTAAATCTTTGCTCCTCTCCCCATCCTCATTCACACCGTAAAAAATGCTAGTGCTACTTTGAAGGGGATGTATGGTCAGTTTAATTAGTTAATTAGTAATTAAATTAGTAATTAGTAATTAATTAGTAGCAACGTGACAGGAGGCGGGAATAGATATTTTCGGTACTCTTTTTCGGGCCATTTTAATTATCCGGGAACTTGGAAGAAAAAGATTAAAATTTGTTAAAATTTAATTTTTTTTAACAACTGAGGACTAGAATATAGCGTATATTTTCTGGAGTAACTAGGAATGTGCACCGCTGCTAGCCCCTCTGACACTGTAATATGTTGCGTACGCGCGTGCCGCCGCTAGGTGCCGCTAGTGTCGTGGTCGGGGACGGAGGATGGCGAGGAGTGTTCGATGATGGATGACGGTGCCTGCACGCAACCGCAGACAGCAGACGAGATGGTAGAGTGGATGTGGAGCAACTTTCTACGTCATTACGATACGAACCGCGCGCCGTTCAGTACGTACCCGACGTGGTCATCGTCGTCGTCGTCGTCGTCGTCGTCGTCGTCGTCGTTGTCGTCGTCGTCATCATCGTCGTCGTTGTTGTCAACGTCGTTGTTATCGTCGTCATCGTTGTCATCGTCGTCATTGTTGTCGTTGTCGTCGTCGTTGTCATCGTCGTTGTCATCGTCGTTATCATTGTCGTTGTCGTTGTCATCGTCGTCGCCGCCGCGGTCGTTATCATTGTCGTCGTCGTCGTCATAATCGTTGTTGTCGTCGTCATCATCGTCGTCGTTGTCGTCGTCGTATCGTTGTCATCGTCGTCATCGTTGTCATCGTCTTTGTCGTTGCCGTCATCATTGTCATCATCGTTGTCGTCGTGATCGTCATGGTCATAGAGCTCTGTCCTCTATATATACACACGCTGCTGCTCCATGCACATTCTTGCAGGTGTCTTCCTCCACGCGCGCTACTTCCGTGACTACCCTTACGCGCTGGAGGGCATGAACATGTTCCTAGACCGACTCTCTCAGCATGACGATGTCTTCCTGGTGACCGTGGGGCAGGTAGTGGAGTGGATGAGACATCCCGCACCGCTGAGTGACATCGCCACCTTCAAGCCGTGGCAGTGCGACAGGTGAGCGGCCACCAGGGGGCGTCGTTTGTTAGGCGGGGTTTGAAATCCGATTGTGTCACGTATTTCCGCAGGGCGTGGGTGCTAAATCGGAGCCTTCTGATCGCGATCACGTGATCGTGCGCAATAATATATACACATATATATTATATAATTATATAAACACTATGTGCGTCAATGTTAACATAATTCGATACATATATATGTGTATATAAAGAAATATTTGAGTATAATTATGTGTACATACGTAACGAGAGAGAAAGAGCGCGTGTTTTTCACCGCAGGGTGTCGCTGCAGAGGCCGACTAGGTGCGTTCGCACGCTGCACGCTACGTGCGCCTTCAGGAAGCCGGTCACCTACCTGAACACGTGCTCCCCGTGCCCCTGCTTGTTCCCCGGCCTCGGCAACCCGGCGGGAAGCTGTGAAGATGACGTGTGATGGCTAAGCGGATGTCCGGTGCTAGTTGTCAATGTCTACACATGATGATTTATATACAGGGTGTGTGTGCGTGTGTGTGTGTGTGTGTGTGTGCGCGTGTGCGTGTGTGTGCGTGCGTGT